TTTTCTATTAGCTCGCACCTCAGCACCATTTGCACAAACCTTTTTTTCATAAGAGGTTATCCTCCACGAGAGGAGAGAATAAAATATGGTTTTGTGCACTGCTGCAATGACAATATCTTGTAAATGTATTTCCCTCCCAATGGATTTCCTTTTTCCCCGTAACAATGGGTAAAAGAATTTACCTATTTTAAATTAGAACTTTAACTTCTTTTCCGACGCGGTATAGCACTCCTATTCACAAGCTAAGCTGCTGCTACTTTATACTGCTTTGATCCATTTGGAAATACATCTTTCCTTTTTGGAAAGCGATATCTTTTATTTTGTGTTTTAGTGTAAAAGAATGTCACAGCTGTATATGATCTCGGAATTCATACTATAAATGGTTTCCTAGTGGGTGCAAAATTGCTTCAATGGATCATTAAGCGGTACCCTCCTTCACTCGATTTGTTCGGACTTTGCATCCTGACTGTAAAGTTTGAGCAATTCCACCTTTCATTAGCTTAATGTTCCGTGACCGTGCATCTCGTCATTATTCAAGTGAAATTCAATTCGCGATACGAACCCCAACAGCGGCGAATTAAAATGTTGTGCATAAGGAGGCAAAAAAGTAACAGTAAATGCTGATTGGAAGGTACTTCGAGGAATGTATTCTTGCAATAGCTCTGTATCCTACCATAAAATCGTTCCATGGAAAATTTCTCGTAGTTCCTTTTCTTTTTTAGTTTCTTGGCTCACTGAAATAATTGAAGACAAACGAAAAGTGCTAGTATTCGTATAAATCGTAAGTAACTCTCTCAAACTGGAAATTTTGGGATTCTCCTGTTTCAAGCTCCTTCGCATAGTTTGAGTGCATAGTGCTCCTCCACGATTTCATTCTACAGCGCTGATCTAAGTTCACAGTTCTTTGTTCAATTAAAAATTCTTTTTAAAAGCGCTTTATAAATCTGTTTTCTGTTGCTGTTTCGCATTCATCTATTGACAGTACTTTAGCAATTCAAATCTCCCTTTCACGACGCCAAGTATTTCCGGACCAAAACGGTTGTCGTAATTTGAATTTTGGAAGAGTAGAGGTGATGCACTTCCTAAATTAGCTTCACCCATGTAGAAGAACGGAAAATCAAAGAATGTATTTGTAAGCACTCAAAAATCACATTTTTGATGTTGGATCATATTGATATAGAAATACTACATCAACTATGATCCAACATTATCATGGGCTATAGTGTAAAGACACGTTGTGATTGAAGTGACCACAACTCGAAAAAGGACCTGCTTAAGTTTATCCTAATTATCGTTAGATAAGAATACAAAATTTTTATTTTCTGATGAGAGGGTAGCTGACCCATTTATGACGAGTGGAGAAGATTTCAAATATTCTAAAGCTAAACAACGAGCTGCTGTTATATAATGGCACTCCTCTTCAATCACCTATGTCCAGAATAATTCTATGTTCTGAGTTTTCGAAAACAACTAGTATCAGAAATTTCACTCGGTATGGTTTGGCTTATAACTCAAAAAAAATCGAATTGAATCGAAAATAGAATAGCAAGTTCCACATTAGGGTACACATTAATCGCTTTGGCTTGGCTTGTTGATTGTAGGAATTTCACAATTGGGATTAATCAAAAGTGCAAAAAGAAGAAGAAAATTCTAAAATTGGCATAGTGTATGCCAATGTTTTGCCCTTTTCACAACATCGAACATGCCCATCTACATACAAACACTATAAAATAACTCTGCTAAGTTCTACATCTGACCAGTGATCCGCTTCTCCGCCATAAACTGTTCTAGACACTACAGAAAATTTTAATCAACGAAACAAAGTCTAACGTTGAGATTTTTAGGTTTTTCTTCTTATTTTCAGCACACGCCAACTTCTCGTAACAGAAATTTCCATACTGTTGATTGGTGAGATAACCTCTGCAAAATATGTATTAGCTTAGATGCTCTTTACGAGGTTAGCATTTCCAAGAAAGTGCCAAAAATGTCTAAAATTCTTAGTTTTTCTCTTCTCAATGACTTTTCTGAAAACCGTGAAAGGTGCCCTTGCTTTGAAAAACACTTTCATGTTTCCTTTATGGTAGCTCGGGAAGAAGTTCACAGATGTTAATATCATTTTTATAATTGATTTCTGCGTTTATTATTCGTTACGCTTGCTAGAAGTCTCACTTCTATATACTTTTCAAAATTCTATTTTTAGTGGGTATACACTATGCATTCCATGTTCGCAGTTGCGCTTGCATGTACTTTAGCCACAATGCTCCTCGCCCAACAGGTTAGTGTAACTTCATCTCAGAACACTTCCTTTATTCTATCAAACAGCCTCAGATGGAAGATGATCTGTCGGCCGACAAGCGAGTGAGATCCTTCGCGTTCGCCAAAAGATCTCCCTACAGACAATTCGCATTTGCAAAGAGGTCTGTGAATGAAGAGGAGAGCGAAGTCGAGAAACGAGCTCGGTTCGCATTTGCAAAGAGGTAAGTGGACACCCGATTACTGCTGAATAATTCAGCGTCGATCGCTCGCCGTCTACTATACTCCTGTTTTTTCTCGCATAGAATGAGCGT